CAACTCGTGTCTCGTGCTTGTCGATCCGCGATCGATCGGTTCACTCGATTTCGAAAACACCTCGTCGCCTGCGGTTTATCCATTTTCGCTCGAGAATTCTAACTTGGAACGTTTGAATATTCAGGTGATTGGGAAACGAGGTTAAAAATCCAAACTGTACGAGTCGGATATTCGGATGACGTCATAATTCAGCTGGATTCGAGGTTACGAGCCGATAAGTGCAAAGAGAATGTGCTATAAGCAATGTAAAACGGCTGAGAGCCAAGATAAGTCCTGGTGCTGCTGCTCCCTTGGATTTTTATGAGAGCTTTCCGCGCTGACTTTCCCACTTCCTTTAGGATCCATTCGTGGGCCAAGTACACGGCGTTACGTCAGCAGTCCTCGGACAGTTTTAATGGCGGGTCATTTGGTAACCGCGAGGAAGAGTCACCCTGGGCTAAAGTGCCATTCTCACGTTTCGTTAACCGAAGCTCAATCCGAGGTTAAAGTTCCTCGGAAATCCATTTGTCGATCTTTCGAAGTAAAATTTCTTCACTCAACTTGATCACGAGTTCTTCGCGTTAAACTTTTCGGCCCTCTTCGTCCCCTCTGTTTTCCCTCTGGACAATCTTCGATTTTATCGTGAAGCTTCGTCCGCCGCCCACGCGGTCCTCACGCGAGTACATCGACACGTAGGAGAATCCAGCACGAGCGTCGATGGCCGATTACGAGTTATCCTCGATCGACAGACACGAGGAAAGCAGGGATAATAGTAAATAAAAAAAAAGGTGTGTGGATCAGGGAAAAGTGAAATGCCGTGGCGCTGAGTGAGTCGTCGAAGATTTCAAAGTATTCGACCGAGTAAAAGCGTGACAGAGAAGCGCTTACAGGGGACTGGAATGCATTCGAGAGGGACGGAGCGAGCAGCGCGAGGGAGACGAGAGCATGCCACGGAAGAGTGCTACCAAAAACTTTAAATCTCATATCTCCCGCCCCTTAATGTTCGCAAAGTACAGTCGTGAGCCGTAAGTTATCTCACTTTGAATTCATAAACGGCCCCGGACCAAATTCTCCGACGCGCAAGTTCTTCGCGTTGCGGGAAAGACGGGGGAATTAATCGGCAGCGGAGTCGGGATAGGAAGGAAGTAAAGTTGCCACGGAGTTCACGAAGGACACGGTAAGGACGTCCCACCGACGTCCTGGAACTGCCATTTGTAAAGGAGCGAGGCTGCTCTTACCTTAAGTAGACACTTTACATCCGGATGCCTGATTGCGCTTCGAGAAAGAAAGAGTTGCACGGTGCTGCCCTGAGAGAGATAAACTCTCTGTAGTGTTCCTAGGGGAAATAAAGTTACTAAGAATGCGACAGGCGTGCCACCCACCCTGTCCACCCTGTCCACCCTGTCCACCCTGTCCACCTTAAGCATTGCTCTTGCTCGAGCCCCTCTCTGTCTGTTTTTCACTCAGTCGATACGCGCCTACGTATTCACCTCGCACTCTGCTCCCCGCACAGCATCCAGAGTGATCTCAGCCACGAGATTGTCTCCAGCATCCCTTTTCCACTTTCTCTTCATTTTTCTCTCCTTTGACCTCTCGCCTCACGATTCTTTCTCGGGAGCCACGAGTGTCAAACCTAAGAAATACGAGGTCGGATTACGTGAAGCCTCCCGAATAAACCGAAGACTCCGAATTCGATTCTGGTTTTTTTGTGAAAATTCATTTTTTTTTTTTTTTTATATAGCATACGTCCAAAGAGAAAATTACCCGAGGATTTCGAAGTTTCTACGAGGCTAAGGTTTCGCTTTGGAAATGAGTGTTTCGTTCTCGCCTGGGAAAAGAATAAAACGCACACCCTGTACATATAACCCAAGTAAAATAGCTCGAACGAGCTTATCGTTCTATTTGCATAACGAACGAGCTCCTTCCCCTGCGATAGGCAGGACCTTGCCTACCTTGTATTAATTCAAGAGCTATGGATTCCACCCTTGGAAGCATGTTCGCTCTCCTGTGATTTCTACGAATAATTCTTACCTTCTCACGCTCCCCCTTCGGTTTCATCTAGTTTTCTCACCACCCTTCAGCCCCGTTCCTCTCTGCCCCTTTTTTCCATACCGGAGCTTTATTTAATTAGTCTAAACTACCCCGGCATTGTTATCCTTAATGCTTTCAAGATTAATTTGATAGTTGCTTTATAAAATATCCTTGCCCGCGTTAACCTGTTTCCCTGCCGCCTCAAGAATCGATTGGATATTGAACTTTTATTGGAAACTGACTTTCATCGTATCAATTACCGGCTCGCGGGTTATCGTCCGAGTTCCTACTTCTCTCCGTCGCCTTATCTCGTTTACAAGTTTCCTGTTGCCAAATATTATTAAGATATTATCTTCAAGGAGAAAATGGCCGGCACTTCAGCACACGTAGCAACGAATCGTGCGATCTGCCTGTCATTTATAAAATTACAATCTGCGTACATTAGTCCCCTTAGGCTTATATTTGATAATCTGCAAGTAACGTAAATCGCCTGTAGAGTCTATCCTGTCGTATTTCCTATCGCGACTGTACCTAGATGCGTTAACGATTTCTAGCCTGTGACGATCAAACACTTTTGCGCACATAAAATTATGTATAATCGGATGAAAAAAAAATGAATAATGAAATTGTAAATTTTATAAACCCGATATTATCCCAAATATTCGTTTGGAACCCATTTTTATGAATAAAACTACTGTTTGAGAATATGACTCATATTGTGTTTACATTCGATCGAAGACAAATTTTAGATAGGATTATATACAATTTTGTATGATCATAAAGAATCAAATGAAATTGTGTGTAATCAGTCTTTTCTCCCGGGAAATAAAGACCCATTGATCGCAGTGTTCTCTGTATACATTGTGAATATAAAAAGTTGAGGAATCGATAACATTTCAAACGCACGTCGACCTGATCGTTTCGTATTATCGCATCGTCGATGGCTCCAGACGTGTTCGATGCGATGGAAAATAAAGGAAAAACATAGAAGCTTGCGCGAACGAGAGTCAGAAAAAAGCATTGTTAGAATAAACAAAAAGCAAAGGCTTTAATCCAGTCCATACTCGTTCGTCACTCTCGTGGGTTTTAATTCCGCGAAGACACGTCAGGCACCGGCGAGAGCGAGAAGCCAGTTGCTCGAAATTTCTCATTTCTCGGCAAAGAATAACAAAGCCAGCAGTTTGAAATGCAAACGGCGGCAGAATTCATCGACTAAGCTGAAACGAGACACCAAGAGATACAAGAGCAACGCGAACGACTGATCCTGCCTTAAAACTTCTATCCTTCGTAGAGTATCAAGACGTCGCAGCCGTAACGTTAATTCCGCGCGTAGTTCTCTGTACAATTTACACAGAAGGCTTTCCTTTAATCCAGTGTTTTACCGACACTTGGCACTTTTGGCAATAGTAATTCCAGTACAATTAGACACTCGAGAAGAGATCCAACGTCTTGAGTACCGAAGCGAGACAAAAAAAGAGAAATAAGTACTGAGCGATAGGAACAAGCTGAGTTAGTTAATGACACCGAGAAGACCGAGTAGAAACGGTAGCCGATAGAAAATAAAGGTAGTTTTAAATGAAATAAGTTAAAAGGAAATACAAACCGCAAGGTACGATCGAAGCCTGTTATCTCAGTGACAGTTGAGCATCTCATTCGCACTCTCAACCAATAGGTTGCTGTTCCCTCTTTGCGGTCGAATGATGCGTATCTCTATTGGTCCTCGTTTGGAAGGCACCCGGTGCAAAGGAGATCGTTCCTGGACCACAAGTGTCTTTCCCGAAAGGGTTCGTAATTAACACGCGGAAGATGAAGCAGGAACGAAAGAGAAAGGAATCGAGTATGGAGATTGAAAGCGATCGAGAGTGCGAATCTTACGGGGGAATCTGACTGACAAAGGCGTAACGTCCTTCGCTGGAAAGCCAAGTGCCTTGTTTCCTATCCTTCCAGTGGTAGTCACTTTGAACGTACTAGGACCTGCAGTGTTGGCCTTTAGAACCGTAAGTGACTAGGTAGAACGTAGTATCGCGCAAATGCGAATTCTAATATCAGTTGAAGGGATGCTAAATGATCCTGACATTGTGTGTACAGCAGCTACGTAGACCTAAGGCGGCGCCTTCGTAACCGCCGCCTCCGTCATCTCCCATGGAACAAACCGCACAGGCACTTTGTTAATTAGCTGTCGCATTTCCATTGGACGCGTCAATCGACGCCTCGTAAAGTTACAGCGACGCCACGTTACAAAAAGGTAAATTCCTGAAATTAGCTTCCGGAGGTCGACGTGCTGGGAGCCTCTCGATAAATACGGTTTGGAATCGGAGGCGGCAGTCGTGTGGCGACCGGAAAGACCGGAGGGACAATAAAGACTTTATTGACTCACACTTAGCGTCCGTTAGCGATGCTGCCGACGAATCTCGGGTGGTTGCGTTGTGAATTGTTCTAGAGAGGAGGGAGAAAAGGAGGAAGCTGCTACGTCAATCCTCGAGGGAGGGTATCTTCCGGAGAGACATGATCCCCCGAAACCGGCTCTCACCGGTACACCCTTCCCTTGGTAGATCCTATAGATCCTGCGAGGGATCGATAGCTCGAGGAAGGATCCCTTGCCGAGTCACTTCACGGATTCACTTGCTAGTCTCACTTTATTTATTTTTATTTCCTTTGCGTGCAGTCACTTTCCTCTCACTGTCATCACTCGCTGAACCTTATCGGTCGCTCGCACTACGGCTACGTTCCCGGCCGACGTGGCACGTCGACGATTCCGTCACGTAACGAGGAAACACGATTACCGGGCACGGCCCCCTTGGACACGAACGAAACTTGTTCGGAACTGTGTCACGTAAAGCAAAGCAGCGCGGAGTAGAGTCTGGAGTACAGAGGCTAGGCCAGTTCTCTGGTGGACCCACTGAGGTTGCTTGCAGCTGGAGGTTAGCGTCGAGTCGAGACGACGGAGCCTTCCGTTCGTCCAGCCTGCGTAGGGTAGACGCAGCCCTAGGAACCCTTGGCCAGATCACGGAGTTTCCTTCGGCAGCGCTCCTGGCCTCCTCTCTCTCTCTCTCTCGGTCGCACAGGCGCGGACGTTCGGAATTCGAGAGCAGCGCGTACGGTGGGAGGACCTCGAGGACCGTACACAAGGCGCCTAGTGGGGGTTCAGGGCGGCGCAGGCGTTTTCGCGCACCGACGCATTGATCCCTGGAAAATCGTGCGGACGACGCTGCTGTCCACCACCCGGTTCGGAACTCCTTGGCGAACCTAAGACCACGGGCACCTCCGCAGGACTTTCCACCAGTCAGACACCTGGTGAACGTCAGCGGCTGGTCCTGGGTTTGGACTCTCGCGCGTTACCAGCATTGACTTCAGGTCGTATCTGACTCCGTCCCTGTAAAGGAATGAGCTTGTTAGCATTCTGTCCTTGAGGATTTTTTGTATTTAGTCGAGAAAAAAGTACACCTACCCGGCAATGCCCTCCTTTCTACAGGATGACGCATCACCTCGGCTCCCCACTTCAGTATAAATCTTACAGTGAATCGAGAAAGTTATGCAGTAACCGCCTAATGCACTACGGGGTAGCTGGAGCAGCTGACTTGGCAGGACCACCCTCGGCTACCTTGAATATTTTCTTTTGACTGCTTCGACGTCTCCCTTCCTCAGCAATCTCGGCCAATTTCCCGAGTGACTCTTACGAATTTTACACGATTCGACCCCCCGGACATTAGGTGCACGTGGCAACACCCCCTGCTCCGCTGGGACGAGACAATCAGTGAGCCGAGTCCAAATATCGACGGCAGTTATGACGAATTCATCATTGGATAAATCTCCTATTAGTTAATGGATCGTCGTTCTTTTATTTTCCTGCCAATTTTATTTTCACATATTTTCTACAATAATATCTGCACCTGTGCCTAATGATAGGGAAAAGAGCAAACGTCAACGGAACTGCCCTACGGTGCCGTTTTAACGGCTGGCTCGGGGGGCTGGTAGGGAAATATTTCAGGCGAGGCGAATGAATAAGAAAGACCAGCATCCCCGGACTTTCTTCGGATGAATAATTAAAATTCATCAAACCCGAAATGAACTCTTGCGCTCGTCTTTAGAAGTTTCACAGTCCAGCTGCCAGTAATATCATCACGCCCCTGTATAGATAGTTTCATTGGACCTCGTACCAGGATTCACCTAGGGTGGTCAGTATCGGACTACTTGTTCATAGACAGTAGCTGTTAGACCGAAGTTACACCACCCAACTATCGTACACCTACACGTGCATCGAGAAGTCCTTCCCTTCCTGCTGAAATCGATATTAGAATCTACATCTCGCCATTTCGTGATACGGATAACAATTTCTCCTTTTACTGGACACGCACAATTTTGATAAAGTTACGTCGCCCATTGTGATCACAAAATAATGGTAAATTAGTCAGATTTAACCAGGAGAGAAATGGGCTTGGTCGGGTAGGTCGATTCTCGTTATTCTATAATTTCATTGGAATCCTTAACGAGCCCCAAGAAAAGGGATCCTCGATAACGAGGATCTCGTGGGCACAGGCGGAAGGAATGGAAAGGAGACGATGGAAAAAAATGGAGAACCAAGTAACAGTAGGATAAAAGGTAGTAAAAATGTCACAAAGGTGCTAAAGACATTACCATCTACATCATCGGAAGACGTGAATGAAATGCTAAAATTGCTAATGTCTTTGAAGGAGGAAGAAGGAAGAAGAGGAAAAGGAAGAAAAGAGAGAAGGAGGGAGCCATCGCACGTATAAAAGTGTCGCAAACGTAAAGGTTTAAGGGATCCCGTTCGACCGGTAGAACATGGCGCAAATGTGACTCCACGCACGTACTTCCGTTAGCTTAGAAATGACATTTAGATGAGCTGCACGCGAAGAGGCCACTTTCCTTCGCACACTTTCACTGTTATTTCCTAAAACAGGTAAAACTCTGTTACTCGAGACAACGGTGCTCTGTCATTTTTTTATAGCTGGATGCGAGCGGCCATTTTGTTATAATTCAATAATACCAACCTTACCTTGAGAATTCTCGACAAGCTCGGAATTACTGGAAGGGCCATCCGTTCTGCACTTTGACTTTGGATCTGCTAATTTCCGGTTTACGTGCTGTCCAATTAGGAGTCATCGTTAACAGAAACACATTCTTATACGTATCCGCCTACCAACTGCACTGCAAGTATACGTAGATGTGACGTAATCATTTTGGCAGGCTTCTGCTATTGACGAACAGAGAAAGTTCAGAAAGTTGCTGCGAAGAAGAAAAGAAGACAAAGCAGCATTGTACTCGGACAGGACGATGGAATCGTAAATTATAGACGATTCCTGCTGTTTTTCTTGGTTAATGTTCGCGAAAGAGGCGCGCTTGGGTCCTTCGCACGAAACACGGTCGATATGTTTACACGACTCAGAGGTCAAGGTGGTTGGCTTTAAACGTCGAGACGCTTCTGAATCGTTGCTTTTTTATTTTCCGTGTTAGCAATGTCCAATGAAGTGAGAGAGAGAGAGAGAGAGAGAGAGAGAGAGAGAGAGAGAGAATTCAATTTATTTGATCAGGGCTTAAATCCCGTAGACCATAACATCATACAGTAACATTAGAGAGAAGTAATAGGTATAATATGAGTCAAACTCGAGAGAGAGAGAGAGAGAGAGAGAGAGAGAGAGAGAGAGAGAGAGAGACGCCAGCGGCACGAGAGACGTCGAGTGTCGAACGGCGTCGTGATGAAAGATGACTATCGAAAGACGCTTCTTGACAGACAAAAAAGGGCCATCGCGTCAAACTTTCTCCTTGCTGCGAACTAGCAAAAAAGAGACGCCATCTTGTATTAAAAAATTCATGTCGAGTCCAAGAAGCGCGAGTACAACCTTGATTTTCGATGCTTCGAGAGTAAAAGTTCCGGACTGTTAATATGCGTGAACGACAATGGATAACCGAATGGAAATTTACGCAGATATCGGACGCGGAATCGAGTGTAGTGGAAAAGCGAGAAGAAAAAAGTTTTCGAAGCCCAAAAGAAGCGAGGCAGTAAGTAGAAAAAGAGAAAAACCAGCAGTGCGACGAAAGTAAAAGAAATCTGATACACGAAGGATCGTGAAACGGTTCACGATAAACTTATAGTTCGAATTTATAGGCGCGGAGTAACGAGTAACGGAGCAACGTTTAGACTTGCTGCTTTCATGATGAAGGAAACGCTCATATAAGAAGACGTAAAAGTTTTCCGAGCTTTAAAACGATACTTTTCATAAGTTCAACTTTCCAGGTACTCCGTGATTATAGCATAGGATATAATCGTGTAGCTCACGTTACCAAGATACCGCACCATGTTCCCGTCTCATTTTAGCCAGCAATAACTCTTACACTCTGTATACACTTCGTTTCAATGTATACTTTCGTGATCAACCATGATCTCGAGTGGCCAACGGCCATAGACGCCATCTTGCTTCGTTCGACCGTTACTACTTTGTTGTCCATTGAAAGAAATTATTTCGCTAAAGCATCAACTTGCTGAAGAAAATATATCTCTATAAAAGGGAGAGTATTCTCGCGTGAAAAATATTTCATGTGTATAAAATGGAAAACAGGTTATATGAATTTCTGAGACAGGCAAAAGCATTTTGCCCTCGGCGAAAGCGATGTGTCATGTGACACCTTATTGGTGTCACCCTCATAAGACACCCTCTTTAGAGTGACGTACCTTTAATACGCTCGCGATGTTATATTAAAGCATCTTACACGAATAACGTATGGCGATGAATCTCTATTTGAAATTCACTGGGTATCATCCTTGGGTTATTTTTTTTTACGTGGGACGATACGTCACGATTGTCAACGAGGTATCAATGAGACTTGAATAGCTTCGCTTCCTTTTGGGTTAATGTTTTACATTGGGCAAATCCAACGAGTCAACGAGTATCGTATTTGCTTGTATTAATCGCTGTTACGTCACTAGGTAAGTACAGACAGAACAAACGAATTATTTTAGGAATTGAAAGATAGTCCCGCGACGCGTTAGAAAATAGCATGTTAAAACAGTTTCTAAATACCTTGAAATAGCTATACGTGTTGTTCCAATTTGTTATAATTGTTGGAACAACATTTTGTTATTAGAGTAATAGAGTAAAAACGCCTGCCGACTGGCAACCTTACATACATACTGTCTAGCTAGAACTCGAAAACTAGTTTTCTAACAAAAGCAATATACATATTACAAAAGGTATGTTTTGCAGTTTAGAATAGGACGGATCAATAGTTCGTATAGGAAATACGTGTATCGATGACACACAACGATTGTAATTTCATAATGGTACGAAGGAACATAAACAATTAACATTTTCAACGATGAATTACATGGAGAACATTGCCAAAAAATTTCAACTACTGGCGCACAGATGGCACTGCTGCTTGCAGCACTGCCTCAAACGGAAACTCTATTAATTACACCTTCAGCTGTTTTATAATAGATGACGTCTTCATACAAGAGAGCATTAAGTTTTCTGTCTTCATTTTTGTCCATCCCCTGATATTCTACGATCATAGATGTCAGGTGAGTCAATCTGTGTTGCAACAATATTTTTTACAGTACAGTAAATAGTCGGCTGAATTATTACAGAAGCACTATGATTGAATCCTGTACGAAAAAGCGAATGTTGTTAGGTATCTCTTTATTAGGCGGGTTAGTTACGTTTTCTATTTTTAATGAATACATATGATATACTTACTGTCACGTTGAATCTACTTATTCCATATTTCTGATTACATAGAATGTAAGAATTTCACCTTGTCAGGTATAAATAATGATAAATAAAGCAGGACAATTTTATCTTTTATACAGGTTGACAATTCTAGTTTTGATCGTGGAGAGCAATTGGACAGAGTCTTCAAGCGATAATCCATTTTCAGAAAACATAGAAGTCAATTCTACTGTAATCCCAAATGGCGAGTACGAAGTGATTAGCGAGTGCCATCCATGCACTGCTTTTGAAATAGCTAGTAAAAGTATTGGAGTATGCGGCCATGCTAGATACAAAGAAGTTATAAAATACAAAAAAGGTGAAACAGTAACCAGAAGGTGCGTTACTTTTATATTTCTACACCATTAACCACTGGGTCATTTCTTTTTAGTAATATAAAGGTGCTCCATTTTCAATGAGATAATTAAAAGACATCATTCTATCTTTGTTTTAGCTGTGATAGAGTTGCCTGGCTGGAGGAAAGAAAATTTTGGAAATTTCAAGCTTTGTCCTTTGCATGTGCAGTATTGTTTTGTATCTCTGTATTTTGGCGAGAAAATATTTTGAGACAGAGAGTCATACGAAAAGTAGCAAGACAACTCAGGGCTAGTGCATAACTTATAAATAAGCTATCAACATTAAAAACGTATGACAAAAGTCGTTCCATTATTTTATCAAAGGTAACCAGCTGCATTGTTTAAGATACTGAAGAGATTTTTCGTCCCCTAAAAAAATGGATGAAGCCTATCTCGAAGTAAATTGCTTAGAGGACGTGTGCCATGCACCGATTGAAACAATAATTACTCTATTTATCATCAAGTATTGTGCATCTAAAGTACGTATTAGGTTTATACGTTGTGGTAAAAAAGCAGACGAACGCTCATACACTATTGACGTTTCCAGTTTCTCGTATACTCTATCAGAAATGAGCGATGTGCCTTCTTACGCTCGTTTTTGTTACTTGCCCAACATTATTGTAAATAAGACAAGTTGCGTAGCTGGACTCTGCGCAATTTTGCGACAAATAATCAAAAGTTCAATAGCAGAACAGCCCGCGCATTATTGCCATACTTTATTGGGCTTCAAATATTCAAGTCTGTTGGCATGTTCGGAGTCAAGTGTCTGGACGAAATTTTGTGAAGTGGACATGATATCGACTATGAAAACATTAAACCAGGAGGAGACGGATAAATCCGAATTACCAGTAAACCTAGCAAGGTTCGAGTGTCACATGTCGCATCAACCGCGCATGCATAACTTCTATAAATACACAATGTCCAAAAAATTCGCTCCCGGCGGGATCACCACCCAGGACAGAAGCATAATACCTCAATACGACTACGCGAATGGAAACTCTGTTACACTTGCGGACATGATCATATTAGTCTGCGTGCACATAATATTCAATTTAATAAAGGACAAGAAGGTGCTCAAAATATTACCGCTTACGGTCAAGTGGTACGAGAAAGTGATTCAAGACAACGTTATCTTAAAATGTTTAATTTGTCTTCCAGAACAAGGAGGAAGCAAATTTATTGGAACGAATTACTCTCTCCCCGTTGTGGATAATCAGAGTCTCGTTAGAAGGAGATACAAGTCACGAAATCGCATATTCACGAAACAAGAAGTTGTGGATAGTACGTTGGAGCATATAAAAAAATTCAGAGTAAATACAAAACTAAATGAAGAACCGTTCGGAGCTGACGTCACAATCGATTGGAATAAAATTCCACAAGAAGCGACACCCGTAGGCGGTGGTCTGCCAATCGCGCGATTGAAACGTAAATTCGAACAGCTGGAGAATCTTTGTCAGCCTGTGATAAAGTTGGCCGTCTCCGGGAACGTCATAGTCGACTTCTGTTCCGGTAGCGGACATCTGGGTATCTTGGTAGCATATATGCTACCAGAGTGTACCGTGATACTCCTAGAGAATAAAGAAGAGTCTCTGAATAGAGCTAAAGAAAGAGTGGCTAAGCTCCAATTGAAGAACGTTTACTTTTATCAGTGCAATTTGGATTATTTTAAGGGACAATTTGATATAGGGATGTCGCTGCACGCATGCGGTGTAGCTACTGATCTCGTAATTCAGCACTGCATGCGTATAAATGCTGTCTTTGTCAGCTGTCCTTGTTGCTACGGAGCCATCCAAATATGCCATCACATCACTTATCCACGCAGTGATCTTTTCAAGAAACTCATCAATACCACAGATTATCTAGCGATTAGTCATGCGGCGGATCAGACGCACGAGGCCAGCAATGCTAAAACTAAGCAGGGTTACGCCTGTATGGCCGTCATTGACGCTGACAGAAGATTGCTAGCTGAAGAATTTGGTTACACGGTACACGTGTCTAAATTAATACCGGAGTCATGCACGCCAAAGAATCATTTGCTTGTTGGCATTCCTGGAAATAGAGTAATGACGGGTAGTTAACGACAGTCTTTTTTCTTCATATTTAAAGCTACCTGCTATTCTGCCTGATGTATACTTACGCTGCAGAGTGTTTAAGATAAATAGGTGGATAACTTCTGTATTAGAAATTCGTGAAATATAATTGATTTTCAAAATATGTTGGAGAGCTTGCTTTTTACCCTAGTAATTCTTTCACGTAATATCAGGTGATAGAATGCTATCGTTAAACTTTTACTTTTAATGTAAAACCGAAAAGAGAATGTAAGTTCACGTAAAACAATTCGTGGAAGGACCTGTGTGGTGAACATAGATAAAAATGTACATATACTCTTTGTGTATATATGTACATATCTATACATTTATTCAAACCGAATTTCTCAATATTAAACATCACAAATACACGAATATAGGCAAATTACACGACTAATTATATTTCATAGCCTTTAAAGTTATTTAGTTTGTAAATAATTAGACACTATCTTAGGGTTACAATCGTTATTAACTAATCTGCGATCGTTATACTTGCAATTATAATAATAATAATATAGTAGCAGTAATAGTATTCGAGTTTGTAAATTACACTGTTCAAATCATTTTCATAAATTGGTGTGATCTCTCTTTTTCTCTGTTGCAATGTAAATAAAAAACTTTATATCTTCATAATTTTATTTTATTTTTTTTCCATCCTTTATCCTGCTGTAGACGCTCTCCGCATATTGAATAAGTGTCTTTTTTGTCGTACAATGTAATCCCTTTTATAAAAGTGCATCCGAACAGGAATAAATTATCGCTTCGGTTAGCTGAAATTCGGCATCTCCGTTCTTATCAGAAAAATAATCAAATAATTTCTCTCGTTACACCGTATCAAACTTAACGTGACTGTAGAAGCAATCAATGTGCCTTAGAAAAGACAAAGTATAAAACGTCTTGTAGACGATAAAGAAACAAAGTATATCTAATCGTACGTGAGAATATCCTAAATGAACAAAGGAATCTTCTTAATAGCACGAACGATATTAATTCATGATTATTTCGATAATCTTATAATTATGAAATATAAAGATAAATCCCTCCGCTTAGCCTTTACGGCTATCTCGAAGCTTTATCGGGGTTTCGAAATTTCTTGAAATCCACGAATTTACTTCTATGTATATTGTATATAACTAATGCATGTACGACGATGTATTGACAGTGGTCGGTGTATTAGTTGTACGCCCGGTATATATATACACATATATACTCAATTAACTCATATTCATATAAAACGCGAATTGTCCTATCTATTAAATTAATTAATTGATTAATTAATTAATCAATTCCTACGTAATCCCTAATTCCGTGTGATCGCTATTCGAGGGTACATACGTGTACTTTGGATTTGAGAAAGATACGAATTAACGAGTATTTTACTCGGTTTCATACGACTCTAATTATATTACAATGACTAAAATCGATCATTGCCATTTTGTCCATTGCGAGACTTCCTGAAGCCCTTTTAATGCGACTTTCTCATTACTTTACTTCTATGTGCATAATTTTGCTTTACTTCTTGGATGGGCTACGTGGAGCGTCTCCACGCTCATGTACTAATACGTATTACGTATTGAAATATATATATATATATATATATATATATATGTTATTGTTCTACGTGCTGCTGAACAAGTCACGTGTGAAAGAACTAATGGACAAACGTTGAAGGAAAGAAGAGGATGGGACAAAATAAATTGCGTGAATACTGCTCGTCGCGTCAGGAATTATTACGTGACTGTTGTATCGTGAATTTGGCATGAGTTGATATCGTGGGGTAGAAATAAATATATTTAAAAATTGTTCATCTTTTCGCGAATCTAGGGAAATTCGTCCAATCGCGTGGTACCGTTAACAATTATTCATGATGCGCGCGCATTCGTTCTTGTCGAGTTGTCACGCACTATTCGATGTCCATCCAAATTCATTGTTAACCTTATTCAATGACTGCAAAATGCACGGAAACAAAAACAATGGACAAAAATACGTTAGCTCGCAGAAAATGTAGAAACTACGAAGATCCTGCTGTAGCAAATAAACTATGCAGCCTCGATAATTGTGCTCGAGTTTATTGTCACCTGGTTCGAGCAGCTTCCACGGGAATCGAAAGGACCCTGGTGATGAATCTCCAGGAAGAAGCAAACAATTGTATTAACGGTGGAGGCAAATCGCGGTCGAAAGACGTTGTTATGAGCAGCAGATACTGAGAGAACTTGAGGCGCTTTCTGTCTTCAATATCAAAAATATCAAGTATGCGATAGTGTATTTTTTCTAATTTAAGTCCTTAAAAAATGCATGCTGGCATTCGTGCCGTTAGCTTATAGGTTATGTTAAGACGATCTTTATTGGTATTTACAAAACAAAAAATAGAGGACAGCCATGAAAATTTTATCTCCGGATCTCCAACAGACACAAATCAATTGGTTAATTGTACGAGGTTATTCGGGACCGTTGAACCGCCTGAAGCTAGTTCTGTGATAGAAATTGAAAATAATCAAATAGACCCACTAACTTCAGGCAGTTCAACAGTGACGACTAACCATGTATAACGCATGCACGAATGGGTCTCTCTTATCATTCGATCGTTCAAAGGTGACCGGTCTACGAGACCTTTATGGTCTATTAAAGATGGCCAAGATCGTTAAACGAGAGTTGACACGAGAACACGAGGGGCAATTTGAACTCTGGCCATACGACGTTAAGCACAGAGTCGAGGTTGAGACGATATTGTTTTTTAATTTAAATAATCTCATTTTTGCCTTTATTCGTTTTCGCACGTTAAACATCGTAACACTTCAATTTCCTCTTTTTCTTTTCTTTTTGTATCTTCTCACGGTTCCTTAACAAAATCGCCAATCAAAAACGCAGTGGTAGTAATAGTAGTAGTATCGCTTACATACTTAACGTTATTTTGTTCTTCTTCGTCATCTTCTTCTACGAATGTGTTTTATGGTCTATTTACAATTTTAAGTTATACGAACCGATACGTACAACTACCGCAGTGAATTTTAGCTGTACCTGGTATTCCCTTCGTTTAAGTAGTATAAGCCACTAACCATTGAAATTTCAAATTCATATGGGAAATTAAATGTTTTCTATTTATTCCTTCTTTTTTTAAAGATAAATACTCAAGATAGGATTGAAATGGGAGAAACATTAGACCAAGATATTCAATTGAAACTCTATGATTAGGCGCAAAAAAATATTATTTTTTACAATATCGACACTTCTACTAAATTGTACCTCCTTTCAACACGTTCGCTGTACAGCAAAGTAGCTGACTTTTCGAACAGCAAAGACGCATGGCCGTCGCTCGGCCATGTCGCATAAAACGCGTTAAGCTTCGAATTTATAATTCCACGCGACGTTAATTTTACCTTTGAAAAATCCTTTTTTTGTCATAGACGACCTGCCGAACAGTATTTATTACACGTTATCAATTAAATATAAAAAGAAATGATATTCTAAGTATTGGCTAAGCATTGTGGCCGGGTCACTATGAATTTCGAAAAGATTCTCATTAACTCGTTTCGAGTAAGATGGGTTTTGCATCCACAATGAACTTCCGGCAGGATGAACGAACCTTCGTAAAATCAGTATATTTACCTTACTTAATAAAATCTTCGAAATCGTACTCTCCAGCAGGTCCTCCCTTGACTCACATCAATTTAATCATTAATTTTTGTATTTATTGATTCGCCATGCGAGCTTTCGGTCTCGCGACACAAACAACCACACGAAACGAAATAATTTTACATAAGTAGAGAACTCTAACGTTAGATTTAGCCTCACTATTCAAAAGATCGACGTGCCAGCCACAACACAACAAGCACAGTGCTTCTATCAAAGTATCTATACTCATACCATAATGTCGCTTAAGTTAAGGAGCTTCCAAACTGAATATCCTCATATCCCAGCAAATGTTCCCATGAAAGTTTAATGAAAAAAAAAAAAAAAAGAAATATTCTCACGACACGACAATAGAAAAATTTTAAACAAAGACATGGTCCTTCTTTTTTCTCAATCGACAAGCGCATTTAATTTAATCGCGCCTTTAAAAAGTTTAGTGCGAAATCACATGTCCAAGACGCCGTCGCACAAATCCGCGTGGCCAAACGGCCAAAGTGCCGTTCGATATCATATAGGAGCATCCGGTTCGGAAGCCCATTAATTTATTAACCTATACAGAAGTGAATAGTAGCGTTTCATTTGTAATTTAGGAGATGGATCACGACTCCCCGTTGCCACTGTCGTCGCCATCCTCGTAATCACTGGCGCTCAATTGATCATCCTCGTCGTCATCCAGCTCGTACTCGTCGTCGTAGAAATCAGTCATGTCTAATTGCTGCTCGGCCGGTCGCGCCCGTGTCTTTATGCAGTAATCCTCCAGAGTCAGAGGGACGACGATGCCTTCCTTCTCGGCCTCCATCTTGGCAGCTTGAGCTTGCTTCCTGTAGGACAAGCATCAATGGTGTCTCAGAGCCGTGATAACGCAACCCGACCAATTGTCTAAGCTACCCGACGAGATTGCGATAACGGATATACGCTTTTTTTTTTCTCAACGAACACAACCACGTATATCCCACGTGCACACATTACATAGCTACGTACGCAACCGTCATATTGCCAATCGCAGGCTTGCATCTGACCCGAATAAATCAGCGTCAAAAATGGCCTTCGCTCTTTCAATCCAATTCGCTAATTTACTTCCGACTCGATTAATGCGTATTCCTACGCTTAAGATCTCACCTGATGATATTTTCATACTCTTTGTCTCTTCCCTTGGAGTCGCGCCAGCGTCTGTACATGACCGAGGCGTCCACGTTGGCAGGACTGTATGTGTTGGGCTCGTTCAACAGCGAGATTACCGACAGCAGGATTGTCCTAGACAATGCATTGAATTATCAGATTATCGTCAGGGGAAACAAAATGAAGAAAAAAAAAAGTTTCTAGGACACGTGCGCCAGGTGCGTTACGCACTGGGATCTAGATTGTTGTCTGGGGTGTCCAGGCACATTCGGTTGGTGGGGATAGACCAAAAGAAAAAAAAAGTGAAAAAAAAAAAGAACTCCCTGGGAAATATACCTCCAGCCACCCATGGATGATGGATCTCTCTAATGTTATAAGGAGCGATGAAAGTGCCAAAAACCAACCTGACGTTCTGCGTTGGATTCCACCTCTCGCACGGCAACTCTCCGCTCTGTGGATCGTCTACTGGCGGATGCAAAATCGATATGCACAGGTCGCCGTTCTGCAAAAGAAAAAAAAAAAATGAACAAAGGGTTTGGACACGTGTCCGGGCACCGACGGGGGACAATATCCGAAGATGCGACGCCTCCATCGATCCTAATACGAAATCGATCTCTTGGCTTCGTTAGCCGTTCTATTGGCGATGGTCATTCGCCTTGGATGATCTTGTCATTTTTTTTTGTCTACGTTCCAAACTAGTTTCGTACCGGTGATTATCGAGGTCCTAATACTGCTCGCCCGAGTATCGACGAGATAGCGAATTTTGGCATTATCGATACCGATGCTCGTTCACGAATTTCCCAAGGCAGAGGTAGTTCCGGAATGAAGGAGCAAGTACCCGGAGTCACCTTCGGACTGAACTTTTATGTATCTTTAGCGCCTCTGGACTGGATGCCATGTTAAGTGCCGGAAGTCAGAGCCGAAAGGGCGTCCGGCGATATGCAGGTTCACAAGTAAGGACAGCGCGACTCGAACGAAGTAGGACAAGGCGAGCGGAGGTTCCTGGCTCGATTGAAAATCCTCATAACGAACAGGGGCCCGAAGGTAAGATCCTCAAGTAAATGTCAGGGCTTGACACGGCCACTCGAGTTCCCTCCTACGACGCCCTGGTACTTCCAAGTGTCTCGACCTCACTCGAGGCGCAGGAACCTCGTACGTATCAGGGCCTTGCCGGATAACGTAGAGAGCCCTTTAAGTATCGCGAAAACGTCCGTAGGATTAAACGTTTAATTACGCTACTTGCTCCAGCCTGGAATTGTTTCAGCCTAACGAATAACCCGTTTACGCAAGCGGGACAGGTCTGGACGTTTAATTAGGCAAGTTCGTCGGGGAAGGTCAAAGGGGAGCCTGGGACGAATGGTGGCGTCCGACAAGGATCCATATGGGATCATCCGAAATTCCCTGCTAGACAATTTACGTCTCGAATACCGAAAGTTCCCGAAGACATATACTCGCATAGGGATACCGGCTATGCTCCATTCAGCGTAAAGCCAGGATTCACCGCAGTGTACAGTCGTCGCATCGTGGCCGAGTGCCAAATTCGATTCTTCTCCTTGGACCCAGCGTGATTTCGTAAAATCCATATGCAGCCCCGCGGGAATTCACGACGGAGGAAGAAGAAAAATAAAGGAACCAAAATAGCAAGGAGTATCTGACCCGTGCACGTGCACATGGAGTAGCGGCTAGTAAGATGGTCCAGAGGAGCCAGAAGGCGCCGTCGCGTGCGGCTGCGAGTCGCGAGCCGGTTACGCGGACGACCGACGCGTCACGTGGTCGCGGCTTGAGGCTATCGGAAAAGCAAGTCGCGTAATTTCGCCGGATGACGTAGGAGCCTCGGAAGAGAATTAGCATCGCGAAGGAAAGTGCCTTTCCCTTCGATTTCGGGCGACTCGTTACGTCATCGCAACGTGCCTATCGATCCACGTCGATGGACTCGACGTAGCGACGAAGACGACTATCGGCCCGAAATGACGGGACACCGCGTATCTTCCGGTGGCGTTAACTGGCATGAGATTCTGAAAATAGTTCAGACAGCCTGTACTCGCAGTCACGCGACTAAGGAATCGCGTGGCGAAAATATCGCGCGTCGTCGAAAAAGATTCGCGAGCGCCTCGTTGCCGAAGTGTCGTCCAAGTAACAAACTAAAATGAAGTTATCGGAAAATTGGTTTAACTTTTCCAAAAAAAAAAAAAAAAAAAAATAAAAGTCCCGAAAAAATTACAATTTTTCTCCGTTGACAATACCCAAAGGCCGCGAGAGGCGCTGTTTGGCGACGTCGTCCCGTGCAAATATTGTCTCATCGAGCCTCCGTCAGGATTCGTCCGCGTCAAAGTCCTCTCACGTAAGTTCAGCGTCCTCTCGGCTCGAAGCTACTGCGCGCGACTTCGCGAGAAAGAGCCGTCTCAGAAACAGTGAATCGAGGAACACGGCAAGTTACAGAAAAAGACCGAATGAGAATACACATAGGTCGCCGGTGATTCGCGTGGCTCCCGACGGGAGCATCGGCGACCGAGGATGTCGACCGTGCGAAGGTCACTCGTGAAAATAGATTGTCCCTGGAATCGGTGCCTCGAGAAAAGCGCCAGAGGAGCGCTTACTCGTCCCCCCGCATAATAAGAGAGAGACGAGACCGACGATCAGCCAGCTCGCAGAGTCAAGAGTCCGACGAGTCGGAAGAGCCGAGCTTCGCTTGAATTTAAAGAGAAAGATATTCAAGAAGGAGAGAGACAGAGACAGGGTGCTACAGAAAATCATATGAGAAGCGCTGCGATACGTTCCACGCAGCGTCGGGGCGACGTGGCTCGGATGCAACCTGGGATATTTTGGGGTCACGAGGTCAGAGTATATGGTCGTACGAGAGAGAAAGAGAGATAAAAGGAAGCTGACACAAGCACGTCTAGCTGGTTCGCAGTGGTAATAAGCATAGAGCGACCCGCCAAGAGAACCGCGTGTTCGCGGTTCGTAGGAGTTAACGCGGAAGAAGAGTCACCTGCCCCCCCTTCGTCGCCTCCTCGTTTCCTCGCTTCGTCGGCGTCTTCCGGGTCGCTCGTCTATCTCGGCGCATCAGAAGCCGAACGATCCCAGACTTCCCCCGAGGAGCCGTAACGGTTCAGCCCGGATGACCGAGAGGCGCCAGCGTCGCCTTTTAATCTCCCTAACGGTTCGCACCGTGGAGGCAGAGGATCGCGTCGAAGTAAAAAGTACGTGGACGCACGTGACACGAGAAGAAGGAAGTGACGGAAGAAGGTTCTGGATCAGGAAGGTCAGAATTGAATGTCGTCCTTGCACGCGTCCGCCACGACAATCGCCGTCTACATTATGGCCGAAGCAAAAGCATTGCCGTTAACCGAGTCGAGGTCAGCGTGACCACCGAGAAAGGCAGCGCGGACCCCAAGACGTCTCGTTGCTGCCTTGGTCGCTCGTCTCTCTGCCGGATCGAAAGAGGTCGCGAGCGCGACCTTAGCTGACAGTTTCCACCTTACGAAGCATAGAAGTACGACGCCGTACCACGACGCTCTCTGCGCGCTCCGACGGCTTCGGAGGCGTCGTCGACCTCCGGGCGAGTACGAGCCGAGCACCGGCGTCGACCGGAGGCACTCTTTCGTCTCGTAATAATAATTCACCCGGTACGTACGGAGCCTCGAAAGAGAGACGTCGCAAGAGGGACTCGACCGGGACTTCAGGGCGACTCGATCGACGTCCTCCTCTTCTCGTAACGAGGAAGCCTCTCGCCAAGAGACTTTTCGTGACTCGTGGACACGAGGCGGCGGCAACGCGCGCTACCATCTGCTGTCCCGGCGATCGCCCCCCTGAACCCGCCCGCAGCAGCAGCAGCTCACAGGAGGAACCACCGACGTCGCCGGCGTCACTTTAGCCATTAACGTGTTTCGTTACGTGCGAACAGCGAAAGGTCGTTACACATGCGAATTCGCACACAGCGAGTCGGGATTTGGCCGTAGTATAAAATTTTCATTTTTTTTTTTTTCATTAATTTTTCAAAATATTCACTCGGATTTCAGCGCAAAAGGGCATAAGTGAGGGTTTATCGATTCGTCTCTCCCCCCAGACCCTTCACACTCGAATCGATAGGGTGGCTAGGAAATAGCGGGACCGTATACTACCCCCCCTC